ATTAGCACAATTTACGATTTCGTATGAAGCAGCAGGAGAAAAAACATTACTTAACAACCCCCCCAATTTTGTTAGGTACACAACGAACTACTAAATACTTCCGGGTACGGTGACGAATATCCTGAGGACCTCCCACCGTTTATATGCGGCCTTTGCTTTTTTTTATAGGAGAGAAGAAATTTTTCTTATTGAAGCACGCAGGGAGCGCTGTGATCAAACTTTTATGTGCACATAGCGGCTGATGAACGTATGAATGTGCATTTAGCATTTTAATGCGTTTTATGAACTCTAAATGAACAATACTCCGACAATCCCACTACATGGACAACATTACTTTTCTTCCATGGTGCTCGATTTTGGAGCTCGGTTGTAGGGATTTTATCAATCCATAACTTGTTGCATAACTTTCTGTCGCATGTAACCATTTTTCATCACCTGTTATGATATAATTAAGGAACGTTTAGTTACAATGATACATTAGTCATTCCAATTGGTTTTCAAAACGGAAATTATTTATGACTCAACCTAATATATACTTAACATTAACTACAGTGTTTTTATCGGGCCTTGTTGTCATAGTAACGACTTTTACTTAAATTTTTATCAATGATATTTTGATAAGTAACGAAACGTCAGCGCGAAGATAGAAAAAAAAATCAAAATCCAACTGGTTTTCACGCTTTCCAGTTCATACATACTTTTGTCCAATATTTCTTATCAAATTATATGTGAGTAAAGTTTGGATGAACGTCCAACAGAATGGTAAATATACTACCCCTGACAAAAATCGTCGAATTAACAAACTTAGAAGATATTCACTTTGTTTTTTTTTATTTAGAAGTAAATAAACTAATGATAGATAAGACGTAAAATATTTTTATTTAACAGCTTAAAATCGTGGCTTCATAAAATATACCTTAAACAAACTAGATTAAATTAATGGTATCATTTTGTCTAAGGTGAATAATATTGAGGAAAAAATTATGGAATTAATCGATATAAAATAGAATTAATACTTAATTACCTTTTCTCGATTTTCTAGGTCAGCTTTATTTATTCAGTTATAGATTTCATTAATTCAAAACAATATTCTTTATCAAAGTGTTCCCATATTTCTTAAATGGTGGTTATTAGCTCTTCTTTGGTGGCTGGAGTATTTTCTTTTCTAAATTTCCAACATAAATTTTCAGTAGGATTTACATCCAGACTCTTCGCCGGACATATTGATTTTATATGGCTTTCATAGAGAAAAGTTTTAATCTCCTTCGATCTGTAACAATATGCATTATCGTCCTAAGAGATGATTTCATCATCACCGAATCTATTTTCTATCAATGAAATGAGTTATCCGAGATTTCAATGTACGCATGCGTATTTATTGTTGAGGTAATGATTGCACATTTCTTCTGGTATTTTAAATAAAATGCAGTCCCATATCGTGAATGACTTGGGAAATTTGTGTTTTCTTTCAGGCAGTAATCGTTATATGCTTCATTTGAACGACATCATACAAAGGTGTCATCGACTTCGCCAATGCAGATTCTTGATGAATCATTAAATATCACCTTAATCGAATCATTCGCACGCCATGATTGCTTTTCTTCGGCTCACTTTAACTTCATTTTATTCTGTTTTTGTGTTAGTGCTCATTTCTGCTTCGCCTTTAACCAAGACCTCAAGTGGAGCTTTATACATATGATCCATTGCTAAAGTTACTGGAATAATAGTCGGTGCCCTGTACCGCTCTAGTAAGTACTTGATCCACCTGCTATCATCTACCTTTAAAACAGCCAGATCAAATCAAAAATGGAGTACTGCTGCCATATGTGGTCTGGAGCTACCCATCCTTCACTCTTCGATGTCGACAGAATCCAAAAGCGTCTCCGCTTGATGAATTATTTTCCACCCTACAACAACTTTTCCACAGACGAAATGCCGCAAGCCCCTCGCTGATCTATCGCTAATTCCATTGAAAATGTCATGAAGAACTACATTCCTCAGGTTCCACTAGTTCTAACCTTCTTGGCTAAGACTCGCCATGTATCACACTCGTTTTAACAAACCACTCCGTTCGCATTCCATTGGTGAGATGTAAGTTTCAGTTAAGCAGTTTCTTCCCACGAACTGCTGATTTATGGAACTGACTCATGGATTTATGGATGCTTCCCTGATCGCTACAATCTTAACCTGTCTCAGTCTAGGGTTAACTGTTATCTTGTCTACATATCCCCATAAACTCTATTGCTTACTTTGTAACACTCTACCTCGAGTGGATCTTGGGACTTGTACAGGGTGAACATCATTGTAAAAAGAACGTGTAAAAAGAATCAGTAATATTATTAGTCCTGATCTGGCGGCTCGGCTTCTGTCATTTGCCCATCGCCGTCAGGTTGCTTCTCTGTCCCTATTTTTTATTAATACTTTCATGGTAATTGTTCGGATGAACACTTCACTATGGTACCTATGGACTAGATGAATTTTAGCGCAATACTAGACTGGATTTAGAGTTGAGATAGCTAAATGTACTCATAACTACTATGCTGACAGTTTCTTTTCTCGGACATTTTGTATGTGGAACTCCATTCCAGCTCCATGCTTTCCAGTCAACTTTAATCTGCAAGAATTTAAATGCAATGTCAATCACTCTACTGTACTCCTGATTGCTTTTTTCTCTTTCTACTCATTACTAATGTTTCTGTTCCTAATTCCTCCACGCTCTGTAACCCCTTGTGTATTCGTGGCTGTACTTCATTGCTTGGGGCGATACCGATTAAAAAAAAAATGTAAATTCAATTTCAGCCGATTTTTAGAGTCCTATCACAAATATTGACTCTAGTTTCAACCTATTTGTTTTTCATTTCTGTTCGAAATATTCTATTTTTAAGATATATTATTTGAGTTTTCTATATTGACGCTCTGATATATTTCATGGTTTACCAGTATTTTTCCTTTTTGAACCATCCCTTTATTTTTAGAGTTTGTGTCAAATTTTAGGCGCAGCTGACAGGGAACAACTAACATCTTTCGTTACACGCCATTGTGGGTTGCTTTCTTGAATGAATTTACGACCCTTTCCATTGTTTCACTTGACAGTTCTTTTGTTGGAGTCATGTTTCTTTTCAATTAAGTATAGCCAACCGCTGACTGAGGCCGACAAGATCTCGCTTTTAAGTATAAACTGATTTGCATCTTTAGGTTTTACTGGTAATCGTTTTAGGAATGCACATTTTAAGATTATTCCATATCTTTCCCTCAAAATTGTGTTATTCTTTAAAAATTTCATCTACATGGCATGGATTTTTTTTTTTTACCATTAATTTAAATAATTGATTTCCGACATATTTTATGAAGGAAAAATGTTCAGCTATTAAATGAAAATATTTTGCATCTTATCGGTTATTAATTTATTTAATGCCAAATAAAAACCAAAGAAAACATCCTTTAAGTGCACTAATTCCATAAATTTGATATGTTTCGACAATGGATCGGCTTCACGAGAAAAATAATTTTATTTCAATAAAATCTACATGAGTAAGACAACAGGTGCTTCACATTAAGTATATGAATGCTTGATCTAATTTCTATAACGTTACAGTTAAAATAGAAGTCAAGCTTTCATATTCATCCTGTGTTTTCTCGCTAATGTAGATATTGTTGAAATAAAATTATTTTTTCTGATGAAGCCGCTACATGGACAAAACGTGTCCAAATTGAAGTTAACCAAACCGTTTATATTTACCTATTATTATTCTTTTCCCATGTAGGGAAGATGAGAAAGAATAAAAATAAAAACATTATTAAGGAGAAAGGACAATAAAAGAAAAGGGATCAAGAATACAGTAGATAACGATTGACATTGCATTGAAAAATACGAAGATCAAAGTTGATTGGAAGGCAAGAAGGAGCTGGAAGTGAGTTTCACAAGCGAGAAGCGCGAGAAAAAAGTGTTAGCTGATAACCTAGGTTGAGTAGATAAAAAGTGTACGAGGAACAGACAATGTTTTGGAAACTTAGGAACCTCCTTTGTACTCGCCAGATTTAACCCCGTTTAAATTCTGAATCAGAAAAGTCACCTGATAGGAACAGTCTTTGAAGTCTGACATTCTGTAGGTTCTCTATTAAGTGTTCCAATAAATAGGACTCAAGATTAAACCTTTCAAAAACAGAAACTGAGTTCTGGAATGTTGATTTAGTAAATGCCAAACACTTCAAATACCTTGGCAATAACAAATTTACCATAGAAGATAAGGAAATTAAACTTAGAATAGGTTGATCTAGTAGTAGTTTCGAACAACTCCACAAATTTCTACAAAACCAAAACATTAATCTTAAAAATCATTATTGATAAATACACTGGTCAGGTTGAGACTTTAATATGGATGTCATGAATGATATCAAACTCGTTCCGAAATATTTATACTATTAACTGTATACAACCGCTTTAAAAATGTCCTTGAGCAAATGAAATCTGTAGGTTTCGGTGAAGGCCGTCTATCTCCAAACCTAACGGACTGTCGTTATAGAATAACTAATTGTGCCAAATAACAGAAACAATATCAGGAAGAACTAAAATGGATATCACATGCAACATGATGTTGGTGTTCAACACTACTACAAACAAAAGGTTAGGAAGGAAACCCCCATCAATAGTGGGAAAAGCGATAACAACTGCCGGACTTAAGAAACCTATTTTCTTGAAAAAATGTTTTTAGAGAAACTGCCTGCTCGATCAATGAATGCTGAATATTTCCTTATAATAGAATATTTCCTAGAATATTTCCTTATAATAGAATATTTATAATAGAATATTTCCTTATAATAGAACGGCTAATATTTCCATTACAAATAAAGAGAAAAGATTTGAAGGGACTTTCGAAGAATGCAAGAAAATAATGCAGAATGACAGTGATTACAAACGGAATTATTTTGCAAGTGGGTATAGTGACACTCGCACACACACACACACACACACACACACACACACACACACACACACACACATATATATATATATAGAGAGAGATAGATAGATAGATAGATAGAGAGATAGATAGATAGAGAGATAGAGAGAAAGAGAACGAAAGAATTGAAACAGAAAAAATGGATAAAGAAGGGAAACTAGGGAGGAAGTGAATGAAAAAAAGGGTAAAAAGAAATAGAAAAAGACAACGGAAATAAGGAGAGGATTGAAAGAAAACAGTAAAAAGAAAGAAAGAATGGGAAAAGAACAGAAAGAAAGAAAGGATGGAAAGAAAACAGTAAAAGGAAAGAAAAGATAAAAAGAAAACAGTAAAAAAAAAAGAAAGAAAGAACGGAAATAAATAAATGAATAAACAACGGAAAGAGGATGAAAAGAAAAACAAGAGAGAAAAAAAAAGCAAGAACGGAAAAAAAAGAAAAGATGGAAAGCAAACAGTAAAAAGAAAGAATGGAAGAAGAAAGAAAGAAAAAACAACAGAAGGAAAGAATGGAAATAAATAAATAAGGAAAGAAAGGATGGAAAGAAAACAGTAAAAAAAAACTAAGTTTGGAAATAAGAAAGTAAAAATAAAGAAAGAACGAACGAAAAGTAAGAAAGAAAAAAGTACAGAAAGAAAGAAAGCCAACAGAAGTAAAGAAAGAATAGAAAGAATAGAAAGTAAGAAAGAAAGAAAGAAAGAAGACTAAAAAGTAAGGTTTAAAAAAAAGAAAGAACGAAGGGGAAAAAAGAGAGAACGGAAAGAAAGAAAGAAAGAAAGATAACAGAAATAAAGAAAGAAAATTATCTCTTGAAGTGACAATCAATATTCGTGATCAAGTAAAACTTGAATTGTGAATACTGGAAGAATACATGGCTGTTAACAAAAGGACGAGCTCAAAGTGTGATTTGAAAATCGGAAATACCAGAATCAAACAAGTACAAAAATTTAAATATCTCGGAAGTATTTTTTAACAGAAGACGGAAAGTACGACACTGAAATCCGAAGGCGGACTGGGATAGCCAAAGATGCATTTCAAAAGCTATGCAGAGTATTTAGAAATAGAAAAAAAACTTCGCTAGAAACAAGGAGAAGTATACTAAACTGTTACGTGATATCCTGTCCTCTTATATAGTAGTGAGTGCTGGACAATCTCCTCAAAGATGAAGAAGAGACTTGAAGCAAATATGGTTTTACAGAAGGATGCTGAGAATACCATGGACCGATTATGTGAGCAACGTTGAAGTTTTATAGAAAATGGAAACAAAAAGGAAACATATTTAACATCAGGACGAGATAGTCGAAATTTCTCTGGAAAATAATAAGGAAAGATGGCTTGGAAAATCCGATACTCACGGGACAGATTGAAGGCAAGAGGGACAAAGGAAAAAAACGCATAACATACTTAGTAAGTTTGAGTAAATGGATGGCGTAACAAGGTTTAGGGGAAATATCCAAAAGACAGAATTTCTTAAGAGCTACAAAGGACAGGATGTTGTGGAGAGTCATGATCTCCTACTTCCTGAGGGAAACGGCACATAGAGAAAAAGACAATTTTTATAGCTAGCAAAAATTATTCACTATAAAGATTGACGCAGCATAATCTTCCTCTTCTTAATTCCCTCAACAGGCTTTATGCTAGGCTAAGCGAATGTTCACAAATATCGAAGGAAAAACGGTAAAATAGGCAAGTCTTAAAAGAACATATTCAAAAAGAGATTATTCCTCGAACTCTATATTCTGCTGGCAGAAAGAAATCTATTGATTTTTCTTCTCAATGATTTTGTGGAATGAAATCCGCCTCACTGTTCTAACATCGGCGTCGTTTTATGCATTTTCTTTGCAATTAATAGCGACGAGATGCTAAAATGTTTTCTTCTCGTGAAATTTGTTGCCACCGCTGTAAATTCTTTTCGCTGTTGATGTATTTTTCATTTCGTTCATTTTTTTTCTTTCTTTTCGCACTTTCCAGATCTATCTATCTATCTATCTATCTATCTATCTATCTATCTATCTATCTATCTATCTATCCCAGTAGATTTCTTTGTATTTATTCAGCTAGCCTGTAGATGTATATACGTGAGAGGATGAAAAAATATTGGCCCGACCCACGTACTACAAATTGACCAGATGGTCAAATATCACATTTTTTACAGGGCTTATTAGTCTAGTGTCTACGCGCGTGCGCACAGACACACACACACATACATACATATATGTTTATTGCTTCTCATTCTGTTAATATCTATCTCATTCTGTTCCCTGACACACACACACACACACACACACACACACACACACACACACACACACACACACATATATATATATATATATATATATATAAATAAACATGGAGTAGACGTGCTGAAAATTCTCTTTCCGACCAAGAAACGATTCCTAAAAAAAATGTCTGCTCAGATTTTAGTAAGCAGTCATAAGTGATTGGGACCAAAGGTTCAATTCGTTGTTCAACACTTCGTCAGCTTTTTAGAGTGAGCTCACAATCTGGCACCGTATTTCAGAAACTGCAACCGAAGTCTATCTGTATAGTTGCAATATAAGCATAAAGTTTTCTCAGTAGGTGTTAAAATGTAGCTAGCCACCCTGACACGTCAGCATACTCGAAAATTAACATTCAGCCATATATATATATATATATATATATATATATATATATATATATATATATATATATATATATATATAAATAACAGTAAGATATATAATCCGGTGTTCTTATTGATATTTCTTATTTTTATTTTTACAAAACAGTGCTCAATGTAAATTTACAGAGCATAAATATTATAAATTAACGATTTAAAATGTTTTTTCGCTACACAGTAATAACCATGTTTCAAAAACTGAAGTTAAAAACTTCAAATTTAATTATATAATTAAATTAAAAGCATTAGATTTACTTGTTTAAAAAAAATATAGTCTTTAAAATTGTAGTTAAATAAAACGTATTCTAACCCAAACAAGTTTTTTTGCCGTTAATAAAATAAATAAAAAAAAACAAACAGATGACATGCGTTTAACGGATGTCAGAATTCGTTGAAAAATGCATCCCTACCCTCCCTAAACTTAACCTCTTTTTCGAACGTAACTCATAATTGATACAACAACAGTTAATAAAAATGAAAACGCTACCGCCTCTGTTTGGATTTCTCTGTATCCTTGGAAACAGGAAATTATGAATTTATATGTGCGTTTTAAAACTCAGTAAATTTAAGAATAAGTTATTCCAAAATTCGCTTGAAGGTGAAACAGAACTAATGCTTTTAATTTAATTATATAATTAAATTTGAAGTTTTTAGCATCAGTTTTTGAAACATGGTTATTACTGTGTAGCGAAAAAACACATTTTCAATCAGTTAATATATATATATATATGTGTGTGTGTGTGTGTGTGTGTGTGTGTGTGTGTGTGTGTGTGTGTGTAATTCTCATCGATATATGTAAAATTATTTAAGCTAAATTATGACAAAGCGAATGTAATTTTGGTCAATAAAGTGCTTAGTAGCTATCTAGACTAGTAATTAGTGCATCAAAAATAGTCAAGTTAACGATAGCAGTGAGTTGAACGAATCAGAATTTTCCGATGCCTCAAAATTATTCTTATCTGGATCCTGAAATCGCAAGTAGATCTTCGATAAGTATCACGCACTATTCTATCTATTTTATTCTGTTCATATCTATCTATCTATCTATCTATCTATCTATCTATCTATCTATCTATCTACTTCAGTTTGGTTTCTCCTTGGTTTTTAATAAAGACGAGGATTTTTTTTCATTAAGCTAGAGTACATGAATACATTAATTTCGATGTCAAGTCTTACGGAAAGAAACAAAAAATATTCAATCGCATTCTTTTACAAATAACAACGATTATTCAACCAGAACCAATATTTTTATCAAGTTGGGAACTGCAATTGAAAAGTGTTGTACAGTTACAAGAGAGATATCAGCTGATGTTTGCAACTCAATCTCCTAACGATACGAATTATATTTTTGAACTCTTAAAGTGAAATTTAAAAACAAATCGAATGCTTTTTATTAAAATTTATTTAAACATAATGAATAGGGACAATTTAATTATAGATAAGAATCCAATCTATTATTGACAAATAAAACATGTATATCATGAGGAGGTAGTGCAGCAATGGATAGCGGCTCAGATTGAAGAATCGGAGAGTCGAGTTCGATTTCCAGTCGAATCCATTACATTAACTTACGTGCTATTACCCTTGGAAAAGGTATTAATCCACTTTTTGTACCCACCAGCTATGGGTAAATAGCAGGACAGACCGGGTAGAACTTGGATGGCAACCGGTCTACCGCAGAAAGTAATGGCAACCTACTGCGTGAAAAAATCTGCCTAGTCAGTCATATATCGAAAGATACATGATCGCCTAAGTGTATTTTATGGCACAATCTGAAGAATTCCCCCTGGTCTCACCCGTCACACAAAAAACCACGAGCAAGCTGAACAGCATTTACAAAACAGGCCAATTCCCGTACAATTCGGTTTGATTAAAGACATATCAACTCCTTATGGGTCATTTAATGCTGAATTTTCATTTTCTTGTGAGCTTTGGTATTTTTTTTTTAAAACGTATTGCTGGTAATTTTTTGTTATTTTTCTTTTACTATGATAATGTATTGTTGGTAATTTTTCTAATGTATTTTTATATTTTCGTATTTGGGCCCCAGTTTGGTTGTTCACTATTTGCCCATAGCTAGGACCCTAACAGGTGCTACCAACCTGAGTCAATGTGGACCTGTGAACAAGAGCAATTAAGAGGTGCTTCAAGGCTCCTCAAAATCTCTAATCTTCCGATCTTGCTGCCGGGTGTAATTTATTGCCATACACAGGACGACCCTGTAGAGGACAAAGTAGTTTGCCAAATCTGCAATAAGCTTTGCAAGTCACATCTTGGCTTCAAGAGTCATTATTGTTTTCACAAGAATTAAGATAAATTTATTAAGCGTGTCAACGATCGTCATACTCGTTTAAGGAGTCAATAGTCATCATATATGTCAGCATTTATGTATTAACGGCTGAGTGGTTAGAACGGTCGCTTTCTGGCCATGAAGACCAGGTTCGAATCTCACCGTGGTCGATTTGTTATGAAGCAGATTTCATACTTCTATCCGTCTGAGGAAGCTGTAATTTTGGAAAATGGATGAAAACCCATAACACGGCTTGAAACAAGAATTGCGAATGAAATTGGGTAGACAGAATTTTTTTAAAAAGCATTTCACCCAATGCAAGTCAATAAGTTCACTGTGAAAGCATATGAGAAAAAGAAAAACATAATTAAGGAGAGAAAACAATAAAAGAACAGGAATTATGAAGACAGTAGATAACGATTGACATTGCATTTAAATTTTTGAAGATCAAAGTTGATCGGAAATTAAGAAGCCGGTAGAGAGTTCCACGAGCGTGAAGCGCGAAAGAAGCAACTGTTAGCATAGAATATAAGGTTACACTAACAATTTCTTCTGTAAAATGAGGAGACCTAATTGCCAATCTAGTACTACGCTTATATTCATATAGTGAAAGTACCAACGTGGAAAGCTCATCAAAACAATCACAATGAAAATATTTATAGAACCAAAAAAAAAAGAAAAAGGTCAACGAAAGGGATTGGATAGCCACACTCACCGACGTGTGTCCTCAGAAAACGATCTATTATGCATGTATTATAGTTATTTTTGACTTGGAGTGGAAGCGTGTATGAGCCTTTACATATGTATTCATGTATGTATTACATCATTGTAAAAGTTTGTGGCCAATTATAAAATTAAAAACAAAATTTTACATATTCACAAAACATGCTTATTAATCAAGTACGTAGTCTCCATTGTTTTTAACAATTGTCTCCCATCGTTCTACAAGCTTGGTGACGCCATTTTCGTAGAAACTTCGTGTTTCTTGTTGGAAGAATGTTGTACGGTTATTTTCGACTGACTGTCAAATTATTAGTCATTTAAATTGTTCTATAGAGACCGGAACAAATGAAAATCAGTTGGAACCAATATGGTCGGTGGTGGAGGGTGTGTCATTTAAATTCTTTACGCTCCTTTTTTGTAACACGCCGTTTTGCGTTGTCTATACCTTTTTTGATTTGCCAAAACTGTTTGTTTTTCTTGAATAGCCGCATTGAGATTGGCGTATTCGTCGTAATACTTCTTTCGAGTTATTTTTTCACCGGCTAGTTCAAAATTTAATACACACAAGAGAGACTAAAAGTAAGAGAGACAATGGCTAGCAACGCACAACCTACTTGGTACGCTTGAGTGAACGGATGGCAGATCAGAGTATTATCCATCGGAAATCATTTGAATTATCCATCTGCAATCCCACCAAACGCACAGCAACACCGTGTAATAAAAGTCGGCTTTAGTTACGGGTCCTGCCAATTCACAAGGTTGTTTCCTGCTCCGTTTGCGTCGAATTTTATCGTAAAAGTTCGCCTGTGACAATTCTGTCAATGAACGGTCCCTTCTCGTGGTGTAACAGCAAAGAAATCGCCGCAGAAATACAATCGAGTTTGTTCTGTTCCGTTAGATAATATGTCACCCAAATGTCGAATTTTGAAACAAAGCCAGGTCTCTTCAAATGGCAAAAGGCAGTTGAGATATCAATTTTCAAACACTTAACAATCTCTACATGTCGAAATTTTAGGTTTATTCTCCACGAAATCAAGCAGAGCATCTTCATTGACGTTGGAATGTCGCCAGGGGCGTGGTTGATCGTTTAGGTTAAAATCACCCTGACGAAATCTGACAAACCAGTTTTTGACCGCTCGAAGAGCCTGAGCACGGTCCATCTAAATCTTCTTTCCCCGTAGTTTCCGACGTTTACTCCTTTCCGAAATTCAAATGGCATAATATTCCATAAGTGTAACTGTTCATCCTTCATATTCAGACATTTTGACTCGCAACTGAATGATGCAAGGTTTCAATCTAGAACACACCGGAGATCGACACCAGTTTCAAGTTGCAGTCATTTGATATTAACAATGAAAATCGGATTCGAACTTTTGCAATGATCTGATATATATATATATATATATATATATATATATATATATATATATATATATATATATATGTATGAATGAGTGATTTGTTTTCTACGGTTTATCAAACTTTTGCAGATTTTAAATCAAAATATATTTTTAGATTGCAAGAATTTTTTGGAGATAATGATTTACTGATACTAGTCCTACTAATTAACCAATAGCTGGGGAGATAAGAAGTGGATTCATAACTCTTCCAACGGTAATTGTGTGTAATTAAATACAGGCATCCCTCGATTAATGTGCATTCGATTAATGCGTTTTCGATTAGTGCGCTATGCCAAAATTCGATTAATGAATACATGATAGTCTATTACTGCAGTAAAAATTCTTCAGTTTAACCATAGTAATTGAAAAATGATTTTTGTAGCTACTGATGTACAGATTAGCCACACTAATCGAGGGATTCCTGAATAACGAACACGACTGGAATTGGAAGTCGGAGAGACGAGTTTCAATTTCGAGTCGTTACACCGACTCGCATATCCGAGCTTACAGCACCTGGCATTCCCAAGCGTTCACCCATCTAGGTACTGGCCAGGTTCAACGTTGCTTAACTTCGGTGATCGTACAAGTGCTGGTGTTTCAACGTGATATGGCCGTAAGTATGTATGTATGTAAGACAGAATATAAAATATGTATATATTAGACTAACAGCTGGTAAGTGAAATGAAAACATGGTTAAAGTAAAAAAATTTTCGTTAAGAATTTAGTAAAGACTTATTTATACTAATACTATTTCTCTTGATAGAAACCTATATACGTCGGGGTGGGGGCGAAATACAATGTTATAATGATGATCAGAAGGATACTGAGAATTCCATAGAGAGAACATGTGAGTAACGACGAAGTTTTACAGACAATACCAACAAAAAGGATAGTTATACTTAACATCGGGAAGAGACAGTATTTGGGGACATAGAATGAGGAAAGAGGGCTTGGAAAATTTAATACACACAAAACAGACTAAAGGTAAGAAAGACAATTGAAAGCAACGCACAACATATCTGGTGCGTTTGAGTGAATGGATGACAGAGCAGGGTATGGCAGAGATCGCGAAAAGACAAAAGTTATTAAGGGCTACAGGATACAGGAAATTGTGAAGAGCCATAATCGCCAACGCCCTGAAGGGATACGGTACATAGAAGAAGATATATGCATAACTCTGATTTTAGTACATGTACGTATATATACATATAAGTATATGCGCCTGTGTTTCTTATGAGTACGTGCGCGTGTACAAGGGCATATTTTCAGGTGTGAATGTAGGTTTGCAAATGTGCATATGTGTACGTAAGCAGAAACGTGTTTCTGCATGTGGCCAGACTTGGAGGTCTACAGTGTTACTGGCAAGAACATTATATGCAGACGACGACGTTAAATAAAAATTAATAGCCAAACAAATTTCGAAGTAAACAGTTATAATAATAATAATAATAATAATATAAAGAAGAAGAAGAAAAAATGATGAAGGTGTCTGTTGTAGTCTTGATAAATCGGACAATTAGGCGCAAAAAAAAGGTGAGAAGGAAAACGAAAAAGACAAAAGCAATCTGTTGTCTTGTCAGTTTGTTCCGGGTTGAAAATGCATCGAGCGTATTCTCTCAACACGACAAATTAGATTTTAAAACAACGACGACATTTTTTTTTGCCACCTGATGAATGGACAGCAAAAACAACTTCAATTATGTCGGGGTGGGATGTTTTGCTGGTGTTTTATTTACCTGGGTGTGGCCGACAAAAAAGCATAACATTAATGTAGATGCAATATTCTCTCTATCAACTGTAAAAAAAGTTCACATCAGTCGACAAATGAAACAATTTTACTCGATAAAACATCGATGCTTTGTGTTTGAAGGGCATCAATCTCTCCTAGTATTTTACTTAGAAAAGCATAAAATATCCTTTAGTGAGTATTTTTATTAAAAACACTAGCTGATCTTTAGTGTGAATTTTTTCGTTAAAAATAGTAATTGATCTTTAGTGTGAATTTTTTCTATTAAAAACGCTTATTGGTCTTTAGTGTGTATTTTTTAAATTAAAAACATTAATTGATCTTTAGTGAGGATTTTTTTCATTAAAAACACTAATTGATCTTTAGTGTGTATTTTTTCATTAAAAACGTTATTTGATCTTTATTAAAACACTCAAATGTTTTATATCACAGATTTAGTAACTGAATAATTCACCAAAGCCGTAAAACATGACGAGTTTCTAAATATATTTTTCCAATTATTATTATTATAACCGGATTTACGAAATCAGTCTTTTCAGTATTCGGTTTCATAAAGATCTGAGAACGTCACATCGGACTCAAAAAAGAAAAAAAAAAACATTACAGTTTTTTTTAAATATGTATATAAACGTCATTTTTAGTAGGTACTTATATTTGGGTAGATACTGCGTTTATTTTTAGAAACACTATTTTATTTCGTCTACCGGCCTAAACAAACGAGAAATCTTATTTAAAAAACAATGCGCCCTCCGGAAAGATTCGTAACTGCGTCCTACTTTGTAGAAGAAAGCATCATTAGACCCGACGTGATTTAACCAACGCAGCTACGAAAAGCGCCGAAAGTTCATAACTGATTAGTTTTGTATTCTAAACGTAAACAAAGGAATTTCTAATGAAATAATGTATATTTATTTATTTATTAATCCAACATATATAATATATTTACACACGCACACACACACACACACACACACACACACACACACACACACACACACACACACACACACACACACACACACACACACACACATGTTAAAAATTCAAAACTACCTCATTCGGAAAATGGCCATTTCGATCTACAGATCTGTGGATCTTATCAATTCAGAGATGTTAAGAAATGAGATAAAAGCTTAAAATTTAAACATTTAAAGACTAAAAAAAGAAGACTAGGAAGACCCTATACAAACATAGTCTTTCTCATTCCACATATATATTGCTGTATTATGAAAAGAAAGGGAGAACAAATCTTAAAACAGCAAATAAAACAGTTATTAATACTTTCAAATAAGATTTTTGTTGTTTCATGAAATACAAAATCTAACAAAAAGCCTAAAACCAAAAAATAATCTATACTTGCTACATTGTCGTAGGCCTTAATGGGAACCTGTAGGAAATAACTGGAAATAATAAGACTGTGGACTGTACAATAATTAATGCTTCCAAATAAGGTTTTTATTGTTTTATGCAATATAAACTGCAACCCTCCTTTTTATTTAATCATGTCATCCGAAGCAAGGCAATGAAGCCACTAAGATTCAAGGTTACTGAGTGCAAGAGAACGAGAAAAAAACATTATTATGGAAAGAGAACAATAATGAACAGGAATTAAGAAAACAGTAGATAACATTACATTTACATTTTTGAAGATCAAAGTTGGCCGGAAAGCAAGAATTCTACAACTGAGAAGTGTGAGAGAAGAAACTGTTAGCATAGAAGTTATGCTTAAATCTAGCCATTCCAATTGCAAAATGGTGAGTCCTTGCCGCCAGTCGACTACTGCCTTTAAATTCGTAAAGCCTTAAAGAATCTCTAAATAAATAGCAGAAGCACCAAACCATATATGGCAGCAATGTTCAATGCATGTACGAATAGTAGATTTATAAATGTGTAATATAGATTCTGGCCAGAAAATTGTGTAGCACGATGCAGCGAACCGACTTTCCTAGCAGTAGACCTAGCAATTGATTCATCATAATCACCCCCCATTTCATGTCAGCGAGAGAAGGCGCAAGGAATCCCTTTCTTGGAGGCTAGCATCAGCCATGTTGGTGGGAGTCAAAAGACGATTGAAAAAAAAAAGATTTAAAACATAAAAATGAAATGAAAAAAAAACAAAAAAAAAACATAAAAATGAAACAGTACTCTAGGCCTATAGTACCTCGGGTTACATCCGGTGCCCAGGATGTTCACTGTCTGCAGGATTTTCAGAGTTTCCAAGATCAGAAGGTTCATCAAGGTCTACAAGGTCTTCATGGTAGACCTACTTGAACATTATGAGTAGACGAGGTGAAGGGAAATAGATTCTTCGACATTGGAATGAGCATTGGCAGTATTCCATCTTAACATTCAACTTCTTAAAATCACTGTTGCAGTATAGCTTGTTTTTAGTACTTGGGCTCCTTTCTTAATTCATTGTATCAAATAAATAAAATTTCTTGTTCGGTAATCCCTTTGTTCCAATCTTGCGATCAAATCTCTTTTCATCTGAATACATTTATCTATAGAAATATTTTTCCGCTGCTTCGTTCTTATCTGCACATCTTCATTTTCTTCATGTTCTTCGTTCTTTTCGCCTTGTTTTAACATCTCCACTATGTCTTGATCAGATGGTAAGCAACAGGCTCATCATTATCAATGTTCATCCATTCCTCCATGTTTTCCACTGTAATCGCTTTTCTTATTTTCAAGGCACTTTGACTTTGGCATATTCCTGGTATTCTAGAACCAGACAAAGTTCTTTTCACTCTAAATTCTAAATCCACCCAAGTCAGTTTCATTATCCTTGTCTTCCTGAAACATTAGAGCTTGGCCATAAGACTTAGACAAGATATATCACTAGATATAGTGGAATGAGAACAATCTACAACCATAAATTAAATAAAAGGTTAAGTTTGGAATGATGAAGGCCAGAGGGTACGACGGCCGAAACGTTGTGATAACAACAACAACAAAGATGAGAACAATAGTCTACGTGTAAATAGTGAATATAGTTGCCTGAAAAAATATGCAGAATAATGAAAAGACTTCATTGAAAAAATCGCAAAGCCAGTTGAAATGTTGAAGAACATATCAACTCAAAGGCTGTGTCAAACAACCAGCACAAAGATCTTTTTCTATATGGCATATTCCTTCAGGATGTTGATAATGGTCGCGCTCCCCAACTTCCTGTCTTTCGCTCCTCTCAATAACTTTTAACCTGTCCCCATCCTATTTTGTTCTTGTCCTGTCATCCATTTCACACAAACACATTGAGTTGCTTACTCGCTGTTTTCTCCTGTTTCTTTTCATTTCATTATGTAGTGTGAATGTTAAATTCTCTTGACCCACTTCCCTTCATTGGAGGTTAACATCAGCCATTTTGATAAAAGTCAAATATGGTTCTCTTAGACGAGTAAAAAAATCAACTCATTCTTTCTGATTCTAAGTATAAGTAGTATTTGTTTTCCTTAAGACTGCCACGTTGCTCACAGGTTCTGTACATGGTATTATCAGCATTCGTCAGTAGAACAACATCTGTTTAGTTTGAAGTTTCTTCTTCAACTGTTAGAAGTTTGTCCCGCATTTACAGCCAAGTGGGAAGACTGATATTACATAGCAGTTCAGCACTTTTTATTTCTAACGGCCTTTTTGATTTCTTAATAGTTTGTTTGGCTTTTCGGGGGCACATTTTGATATTCTAATGAGCTTTCAAATTTTTCTTTCGCCCTTTGGGTCGTTTGTTATAAAACTACTCCGATAGTTAAATAGCTGTATCTGTCTGATTTTGACGTCCCTAATATGCACCTAACATCTTAAGTTGTCTCTTTTTCTCACCATCATGCATTGATTTCCCACAGTTAATACTTCTTTCTTTTTGCTTTCATTTAC